TTATCTGCATTGGGGAAGTGAAGAGGAGGATCCCACTGTTTTAGGCAGAGTTATACGTGCGACAGAAGATAGTCCCTGCCCAGAGTGTTACCAAGTAGGAGCCCTAGGTTTGTTGCCCATGAGCTGCTAATCTTGGCTGGTACAGTTCTCTCAGTATTGAAATCTTATTTGACCAGCCAATATTCAACAGAAGAACAAGGAGATTTTCACAGTAGTGGTTTCATAGTGCTGCTCGTATGTGTCCAGTTTAGGTGAGGTGATCTCATTCAGCTTGTCTTCTGCTGTTCCACCGGACATCAGCAAATGTCATTTGCAGAAAACCATTACTTCATAAAGTGCAGAGATTTCTCCACCAGGTCTTCCTGATTCCCAGTTCTCTCTGTCTTTGTGTATAATTCTTTGGAAGTTCTTTTGTTTGTCTTGGTATGGTATCCCCATCTATTAAATTAGGGTACTAGAAGGTTTATATGGTGCGTTTAAAGACCTGGAAATGACATTGTCTTGTCTGAATTTTGCAAAGAAATGCTGTTGTTTGTTCTGTGGTGTCTTGGCTTGAGATATGGAAGATTTCATGGTAACTGTCTGCCCGAAAGTGCACACCTGCCTGTGAGTGCTGATCCTTAAGTCTGGTAGAGTCTGTCATCCTCTATTTCTCTAGGGTATGCAAAGAATAAGTACTTTGTGGGAGTGCACATTAAGTTTCAGAGCTGGTAATACAGGGGTCACTGTGGGAGAAGTTGTCCACTTTGGTGGTGGGTGCACTAGAGGCAAGAACCTTCCTATTAATTAATAACATAGTAATAGTCATGCATTTATCAGATATCTGGCAAATTTTGCAGGTGGCACAAAACGTACATTGGATTAGTTAATACCAGGACAGACTGTCAGAAACCTCCAAGGGATTAAGCTGGGCCAGATGAGTGGGCAGCATGATGATAGACGAAATGGACCATCAGGAAAACCAGAATACTTGCACTGAAGGCAGCAAGTAGAGCTGCTCAATTCATTTGACTGTAGACTAATTGTGGCAGCTCAGGAAGGGGATCAGATATCTGATTTCTGTTATTTTGTACCAAAACAAAACAAAAAATAAATAAGTGAATGTAACAAGTATTGAAACCAGTCAAGGAAATAGTTGTTCGCCCACTGTAAAATTAGCCAGGGACCTTCCTTACCATAATGCATTATTGAGCTTACCAGGTTGGGATGTTTGCAAGGTCGGAGTGGTTGCATGTGAGTGCAGCTCGGTGCAGCTCTGCACTGAGGCTCTATCTCGTGGCAAGGAAAAGCTGCAACTGCAGGGGAATATATATTGTTGGATGCTTGTAGGGAGCAAGAGGGACGGGGAGGTTCAGCCATGTCTTATAGTGGAGCAGTAGGACCCCAGGAAAGCTGCTGTCCCTCCCAGCAGAACCGCCTTCCCCCTCTGCTCTCCAGGGTTTTCTGTAGTGGTTTTTAGGTACGTGAAGGTTTTGGATGTGGCGAGAGCACTGAGAAAAATAATATAAAAAAAGGTCTGCAGGTTAGAAAAATAGCCAGATATTTGCAACAGCGAATATTCAAAGCTAAACCTCCTTAAAATCTGCAAAAGAATAGAATGCTTCATGGAATGAGGCTTCCATCAAGTTTAAGGGAAAGGGTTAAGAGAAAATTTTCTCCGGGTTCATGTCATTCCCTTGCCAGGTTTCTTGTAACTTTGACAGTGATGGCCCGTTCTGGCATTCACGTCTCTGGATCTGGTACTGCTTATTGCAGCCAGCAGCGACTGCCGTGGCTGTGCCAGCTCCCCTTGCTCCGAAGGCATTTGCAGTGATAGCACGAAATCCAGCAAATGTGCGTTTGCTAGCAGAGCACATCAAATAGCCCTTTGAAAATGCATCGGATAACCACATTTTTTTATCTTTTCATGTATTTGTTTGAGAGAACTGTTTCCAAAATTGGTCTCTGAGCTCGTAATGGCCAGTTTGCCTCCTGGGTTTCAAATCATCTCAGGGTGAGATTGGAGCCGTGACACCGTAGGAGATTGACCTTGCTAACTACAGGATTATGGGTTCCACAGTGCTCTGGGTAAGAAGCACAGGCTTGTTGGCCCAAGCTCAGACGGTGGGTAGATATTAGAGGAATCTGGTTAAAGCAAATGCTACGGAGCAGGAAGACCCCTTGTCCAGGGCAAACCTTTCAGTGAAGGACCTGTCATTGATTTGTCTTTCTGATGCAAATCATACAAACATATTAGATCCACAGAGAAACCAGACACATATTGAAGCAATTATCTCCATAAACATATTACTGCCTTGGAGGTAGACAGATGGCATTTGCAGCAGCCTTCTTCTGTTTTACAGCAGAATTGCCCGCCTTTCTTTCTGTTGTTTGGTTCAACATTTCTTTAGGTTTCTTCTCTTTTTCTGTTTCCCTGTTCTCCCTATGTGTCATGCACATGGTCTTAGTAAGCTGTTAAAAAATATCTGTCGTGAAGGATGGCTCGGTCACACCGAGTGTCAAACTGTAATGGCTTATTCCAGATTATATCACGTGTCCCTTCATCCAGGAAAAGCCAGCCCTGATAGCTTTAATAGCTGGACTCTTAATAGCTGCTGGACACACAGGGACACATCTCTGTTTAGGGATGTTTTAGGGATTTCCATGTGAGAGTGTAATTAAGGGTAGTGCGAGTACAAGGCTGATAAAGGAACAATTTCATTTTCCTTTTTCTTTAATGGCAAGGTGATAACCAGTATAATGATGGAAAGAAAGTGAAATAAGGCTTTGAGCAGGAAACGAGAATAGCATTTTCTGGGCTGCATTTGCTGCTGTAGCGTTGAATCACTGCAGGGATGAAGAAGGGACATAGAGCATCTCTAGCTATCAGTTATGGATGTCTTTAGTATCTGTATGACAGGCATCCTGTGGTGGAGGCTGAAGTCTGGGTGTGCTCTTCAGCGACCAGCTTAGTTCCCTTCAGCCAAATACTGAAAACATTGTGATTAAGTTATTTATTTATTTATTCTTTTTGTGTGTGGGTACATAGACTTTCTGTGGCTTCAATTCCATGAGATGGAGTGTAAGGTACAGTCTGGGCTAGAGATGACCTTGCTTTCCACTGATCAAAGGACAAAAATATGAGCTGTTTCCCTATGTTTATCTGTTGGCTACCAAGAACTGATTTTGCTAGCACTGCTTCTGGCATTTTAGGCTGGTCTGGAGCTATCTAGACACACAATTTTTCTCTCTCTTTCCCAGTCTGTGTCTGAACCTGCCTAGGAGACTTCTGCAGCCTTATCACCTTAGAGCATGATCAACTCAGCATCTTTTAAACATCTGCTCATATCTCGCCTCTGAAGGAAAGAAGCTGTTCTGCCCCCATTTTACAGATAAGAAGTTGAGGAGGAGAACCAAGAATTTGGGAGGAAATGAGCAATTTAGTCCATATCTCATACCTACCAGGGAGCACCTAGGAAAATTATTCTAAATTTCATGTGGAGTAAGTCCCCTGAATACCCATGTGGAATTGAAAGGAAGAAAATTGAAAATTCACTTCCAAATGAAGTGAAGAAAATTGAGTCAAGGCCACATGCATTCTGACTGAGAAGAAAATTCAAAGTTTCATGCAATGTAACTTGCCCATTTTGATATTCACAGCTGTGGGAAACATGGATACCTTTTCTTGGCTGCTCCTGTGTAAATCAGGCCACTTTCATTGTATCAGTTCAGTGCTGGTTTCATCATCTTTCTCTATTTTTGCTCAAATTCAAATTATGTTATTTTGCTTGTTTTATTTTTTATGACTGACTACATTTTCACTTATTTAAGCAACCTACCTATCCCTAATACTTTGTGCTGCTGTTTCTGTTTGGTTTCTCATTAAAGTGACTGATGTTTTTTCACCATTTTTGTTTGGAGTAGACTTTATCAGGAAGATGCTACGAGGTGGCTGGTGATGTTGTGTGTATCTTTGGATTCCCTTATGAAGATGCTGTAGGGAATCTGATTTTCAAGTGTGGATGTTCAGAGCTTTCTGAAGACCAGACATGTTTCATACTGCGCAGCGTATGAAAAAATGAGTTACAAGAAGTTCCACGCTTTAAAAATTCAGCCTCATAAAAATCTGAGGGGACCAATTTCATATTATCTTATTCCTCTCAGGCTGCAAGTAAGGGAAATTACAGACTCCATTTGCTAAGCTACAGGAGGCTAAATGATTTGTCTGACTCTCACAAATATTTTTCAAACCCACATCACTGTAGCCTTCCCTATGTGCTAATGTGTGAATAGAAAACAAATGAATATGTAACGTGCAGGAAGGATGACCAATTTCATTCTTTTGGGTAAACCTAACTCCTGATATTGTGCTAATGATAAAGGAGCCCAGGGTTTGTAGTCGTAACATTTGGTGTTAGTAGAGTATGTTAAAGAAACTGTTATTTTCTTGGTTTGTGTCCGTTATGGATGGCTCTCATTCTGGCAGGAGTCTCTGCAGGGACCACAAGTTTCATCGTGGCATCATGGGCTCTTCAGATGGCTTTCACTGTTGTCCCAAGGGGTGTGAAAGGTCATATCACAAGAGATTTATCTGTGACATTTTTTTTCCAATACTTTGCACTGTATTTTAAAATATAGTGGAGGCTGAGAGAGAGATGATTCAGGCAGCTAGGCTGGACCGTGACACATATAATTCAGGCTATGATGAGTGCCTCAGTTTGTGATTGAAGATGAGGAAGATTAGGATGTTTGGTGACCCTGTGATTGATCTCAGACTGTGGGATATTTGTCCAGAGAGGCATATGTAGGGCATAAGAAGACACATTTGAGGAGAAGAGGCAAGCATTTGGGCAAAAAAGCTTCAAGCTATTGTGAATTTAGCCTAATTAATCAGGACTATCAATGGTAAATGAGACCTGTGGTGTCGATAACGTGCTGAATTAATCTAGGAAAGTTGTGACAACTTTTGAGGTGGGAATCTTTTTTTTTTTTTTTTTTATCATGACACCTGTTGCTCATAGGTACAAATCAAACGAAGAGTATGTGTATGTGCGAGGCCGTGGAAGAGGGAAGTATGTATGTGAGGAGTGTGGAATTCGCTGCAAGAAACCCAGCATGCTGAAGAAACACATTCGCACGCACACAGACGTCAGGCCATATGTCTGCAAGTACTGTAACTTTGCTTTTAAAACCAAAGGTAAGAGACAGTCAGCTCCTAGCTCCTCTGCTTAGTATATTGACTTGCAAGCCTTCTTGGGGGCATTTGTGAAGGGGAAGGAAAAGCCTTCCTAGGGTCTGGAAACCCCAGGAGATGGAGGGAGGGGGATGAGGGAATCTTAAATTGGCTGAATTTTTCTGAAGAGAACCAGCACTGTGTTAAACTCACGTGTGTCTTAAAGTCACCACGAGGAGCATCATTGCTGGCCTGCAGCAGAGCATCCATGTCATCCTCTTTGTGTTTCTTAAAGACGTTTCTTAAAAAACGATCCTGAAATGCAGCTTCACTGACAGGCATGTGAGAAATCAAACCACCCCAGATCAGAATCAAGAGCTCCTGGCTCCAGGCAAACATCCCTGTCTAAACACCTAGTCTTTGGGTGGCTTTATATGCTAGTGCTCTCAAGATCTGTATTTGCGCTGAGCCTTTTCATCCTTTGCAGTTGCATGTAGCTTAAGCATTTTAGATATCACATCAGTAGACTTTTCTTCAAAGGCCTCCATTCCAAGATGTCTAGCCATTAATGATCCATAACCTCATTACCACCAGATTTTCTTCATGAGCAACCTCCATCATTGCTTCAGCCCAAGGGTCAACTCCAGTATAGTCAACTTGTGTCTCAGGTGCTTGGGAAAAATGGACAATGCAAGTAGACTCTATCAGAAAAATACGAAAACACATGCAAAAGTGCCTGTCTCTTGCAAGAAACTGTTAGTTAAAATTGTCAAAAGCACCCAAGTGCCAAAGGTACCAAGTTTCTTTGACTTCTCCTGTGACTCTGCCACCTTGTTAGCCATGAATTTTAAAGCTCTGCAGCACCGTCTTTGGTTTCTTCAAGTCACACAGGAAAGAGATGGACTTTTTTTTTTATTATTAGAAACATGAATGTCCATTTGTAAATTAGAGCTGCATCATAGGAAATCCCAGAAAATAACACAGGTGGGAGAGAAAAGCATCCTTAGAAAAGCATCAGTTTGTTTTGGGGGCCTAGTGGGGAGTGCTCAGAGATGATGGTTTTGTTGGCAAAACTGAGGGGTGATTTCTCTGTCACTACTGCTAATCACCAATTGTAGCGTAGCCTGGGGAAATGATACTGAATTTGAGGCCAAAACCTCTGGTGAGTCACATGCAGCAGATCCAAGGGATGGGTCTTTCTCTCCCTCCCAACCTGGGGCACCTAGGTTTCTTTCCGATCCAGAGAACAGACTCAGTATGCATGACTTTGTCCTGAGATTTTCCTTTGAAGGAGCTGAATCAATTCAGTCCCTTTTGTCACTTCACCTTGCTTCCCATCACGCTCCTATTAGGTTTTTATGGAGGATGCTGAGATCAAGCCATTCTTTCCCCCATCTCCCCAGCTGCATTGCTCTCCCTCTGCTTCCTTGGAGCACCAGCTGTGAGCGCTGACAGTGTCGATGGCACATTGCAAATAGCCCCTTGCCTCAAGGGGACTTCCCTTCTTCAGCTTTGCAGGAACCTCGCGTGAGGAAGGTAGCATGGAAATGCTTCCTTCCCCCCAAAATAATGGAGCTGGGATTCGAATGCAAAATTTTCCATTTGCCTATGGATGCATGAGGGGCCAGAAGTCCCATGGATCAGCAATTTTAGGATGTATAGTTGCATGATGACGTGTCAGAATTGCATGAAAATGTCTCTTTGCTGCGAGGTGGGTGACCGAGACCCGGTTGTGTCCTCTGGGCAAGTTCCTTCTTCACATAAATATGCAGCATTTGAGTAAAGCTGTTTGCTCTCCTGGTGCAGACACAGGGACGTTTGAAACGGTTACTGGAGGATGAGAAAAATGCTGCCTTGTGCACTGGTGCAATCATCACTTAAAGACCCAGTGTAGAAACTTTGCCATTGATGACAGAGTGTGAAGCAGAGGTCCAGCAGATTTGCAAAACCAGGGGTTCCATGACTTATTTTGGAGACATCTAGAAAAAGTTCATTTGGGCCCTGGTTCTCCAGGAGCCTCCCGTCTGGTGTACAGCTTTGCAACTGCAGTTAATTGCAGAAGTTCTTGCACCTGGACTGCACTTGCAAAAGTATAAGTTGGGTCAAAACTCGTTTAGAAATCAGTATTCCAAGGTTAATTTTAGCCTTCAGTGTAAACTCAAGGGGGATATCTATGGAGCTGTCTTCATTTTGGCCGTGGTAGATCTCTCCAGTATGATCTAATGCTCTAAACTCTAAAGTATGCTGGAAGCGCTTTAACTTTTTTTTATTATTGTTATTGTTAATGAGGATCTTTATCTGGTTAAAAATGTTCCCTCCCTCCTTTCCTCCTCCCTCCACCCCTCACCCATAAAATCCTTATCTGTGTTCCAAGAGCTGGGAAAACTTCTGCAAAAGAAAGAGCTTTAAATATGTTCTGCTGTTCACTAATTATGCCATTTGTCTGCTTTTTGTGCATTTCTTTCATTGCAAACCACGCTCTAGTTTTGGGTTACAGAACTGCAGGGAAACAGTTTATTGCTATTATAATTTCAGAGAAAACCCACATTTTTTTTTCTTTCTGGTGTGTGTGTGTTCATTTAGCTGATGGAAACAGTCTCAGAAATTTGGTTCGTGAAGGTTTATGTGATTTTATATTTCTGGAGCAAGGATGAACATGTCTCTTGGATGAGGTGTCTTTTCCTCTGCTGTAGTAGCACTCTCCTAGGAGCTTTGCCACCTCAAAAACCTTGTTAAAAGGAAGCTCAGCAGCTTCTTCATTGTTTTCTCACCAGGAAGGAAATGGAGAAGAAGCGGCTATCTGACCATTTCTCCCACAGGAAGGTCAGCGAGAGCTTTTGCCTTGACCTGTGTCCCAGGGGGGAGCGCAGGAATTCCAAGGCTTTCCTTCTCGTCCCTCGGATCTGACCCCTTAGGGAAGTGCAGCCCCTTTCCCCCTTGCTCCGT